AAAAAAAAAAAAGGCATATTTTTCTTTCCCCTTGGGTTGTTGTCAGCACTGGTGTCCACCCCAGCATCACTTCCTTTGATAAAACTGCAGCGCTGTCTCACAAATCAACCTGCAGAACTGATGTGAGAAGTTGTGGTGCTGCCTGATGCCCACACAGATTATTAGCTGTGCTTCCTGCTTGAAAGGAGTACTCCTGAAATGTCAAACCCTTGCTGTACATGTTTGCAAACTGAACTTTAAATGATAAGCTCAGATCTCGCTCATTATAGATAATTGTAGCTTCTCTCTGCTGGAGAAGATCTTAATGCTGAGCGGTGTCTGGGCTGCCTCTGAGTAGCTCCTCAGATTTGATGCCTGTCTCTTCCCTTGCAGCCGTAAGGAATATGCTGCTCTTAAAATTCTTTAATTGCTTTGAAAGGTAACATTTTGCTGGGACATCTAGGCTGGGAATAGAATGCATGTGAATTTATCTCTGATGTGTTAATTTGCTTGATGGTTGTAAAGCCAGAGATTCTCAGCGTTTTGTGAATTTTGAGTTTACAGTTGTCGCCTGCTGGATTTATTTCTTCTGAGCAACGTGTCCTAATATTTTCTCTAACTAAAGAGGAAAGATTAAAGCTATTTTGTTTTTTCAAAATGTTCCCTGGTAAGAAAAAAAAAAAATTGATTAAGTTTATTTTTATTGTATTTAAAGCTTAATTTAATAGTCTCTCAGCTTTTCTTTCTAAGGCATGCTGTAAGTAACACTTAGGAATTCCTTGACTTTCCACTGCCATTGTCTCCTTGGGTTACTTTTTCCACCTGCTTTTAAGATGGCCTGCAGTGAGGAGATTTCTGTGCCTCAGCTTCCACAGGAGCCTTCTCCTTACCTTTTTATAGCTGCATCTGGATGTGCTCCAATCTTACTACCAAATTTCTCTGTTGTACTTTGCTTTTTAGAGTGTCAAAACCTCTGATTCACAAATTCTGCTCTTTAACTTCCTTTGCCTTGTCACTACTTGGCCTCTCTCCATAATCCACCCTTTTCTGTGTACATCTCTGTGTACAGAAAGCTTATAGTAAAAACTGAATACAGCCTCTTCCAAAAAGCAAATTTAAACTGTTTTGGTAAAATGTCTGTCAGAGAAAGTATTGATGAGATTCAGCATGGGTGGTAATTGCAGTGTTAAATAAAACTCTTTTCCTTTTGACTTGTGGAAAAACAATTTCTAGAAGCTTGCCAGGCTTATTAATTTATTTTACCTATGCTTTCAGCCAGTTATTTAGATTAGCTTGAAAAAAAAATCCAATCTGAAGGATAAGGAAACGCTCAATAAACGTTGCTGTCTTTAATCCTTGCAGTTGACTCTAGTGGGCAGATTGCAATCAGCACAAACTTTTCCCTTTATTTGGAGTGAAATCTATTCTATGCACTGTTTTTATCTTGGAATATATAAAATGTCTTGGTGCTTCTAAAGGAACAGTAACGTTAAACTGTGATCTCCAAACCAGTTGAGCTTTTGTTACCCTGACAGTATCTCCGTGGAAGGCTTGTGTCATTGCATTCCTATCGCAGCTCCATTTAGAGTTGGGCATCTCCTAAATTTCTGTTGCCTTTGTGGATCTCCTTCATCACTTTTTCCCAACTATGTTTTTTTTCCCTGTGTAGGGTGACGTAGCAGCCGTGGAGCAGCTGCTGACAAACGGGGCAGACCCCAATGTCAAGGATAATGCTGGCTGGACACCACTGGTGAGTGTTGGAAGTCCTTTTCTTCTGACATCTGTCTTCTTATCAGATTTCATCTTATCCCTCCTTTCCTCGCCCATATTTTAGTTCCCTTTACGCAAAGAGCTATGCAGAGTGAAGAAGTGTTGATAAACGAGGTTAAAAGAATTCATTAGCAACTCCTGACCTGCCCAAATCTGGCTCTGCTCTGCTGGGGTGCAGGGCAGGCCTTGAGATCGATCAGCCTGCAATTCTGCCAGTGCAGAAAATACCACCACAATAGCTAGAAAACTACCAATTGCAAACAATGCTTATATTTTATGGGTTCTTAATGTCCTCAGTGTTTTGGAAACGTGTCAAGTAGTGGAATGA